ATTATTTTAAAATTTGACCAGAGAGAGGTGGGGGGGTGTGTGTGAGAAAGCAAGCTGCCAGGTGAGGGACTCAAACCAGGGTTGGCCATGTGGGAGTCCAGTGCCTCAACTACCACGCCACCTGCTGGCCCCTCGAGTGGATTTTTAATGATTTAGTGTTTCACTTTCTTGCCTCATCATCTGCAATCTTATTCATGGTATTTAGAAATGGATTTATGGGAAGGGGGGGCTCTTCAAAAAGTTCATGAAAATTACGTTTTATAAAAATCCATGGATTTTGGAAAATTTTTTTATCAAGGTACATTTGTGCTTTAATTCCATTTTTCCACAAACTTTTTGAAGTCCTCGCATAGGTAATATAGGAGATAGGTTGAATTGCCAGCTAGCCCTAACCCTAGGTAAGCATGATATATATGCTTATTGAAGGCATTTGTTTATATTTGTGTCAGAACTCTTGTTAAAAGCAAAACATTTTTTTTCCTGTGAATTACTTCTTTTGTCTCAAAGTGGAGAGCAATTCAAAACTTCTGTGAAAGCTTTGTGCTTTTGTATAAAGAGTGAAATAATTATTCTCATTCAGTAACCTATCCAGATGTTTACTTTATGGGAAAATCAGTGGTGTATATTTGAGGTATATCCCAAAAGTAGTCCATGTGATAGGTACTTTTTTTTTTTTGTCATGAAGGAAACTCTTAAGGTATTGATGTTGGTAGGTATTTTGTGCAAAAAAACATTGAAAAAAAACTTATGTTTGCTTTTTGTCTTTACATCTGGCCCTCCTTTTTTGAGTGGGTGACCCTCTGAATACATATGCAAATTGGATGTGTAGAATCAGCGCTTTGTGTTGTAGCATTACAGTTTCACAGATACATCTCCTATTCCTCTAAGCCTAACTCTGTCAAGCTTACATTCATTGAACACCTGTCGTGTGCCAGGCACTGTGCTGCATTCTAGGAGACAAAGATCCATTCATCCTTGTCCCTGCTCATAAAGTGTAAGGAGAAGACAAGTCTCACAGTCTAAGGAAGAAGACAAAACATAATCAAAAGAAGCAATCAAAATGCAAAGATAGGCCTAATAGAACTTAACAGATGCAAGGAAAAGGAGTAACACTAAAAAAGGAAACTGAATGAGCCTTGAGATGGGTTCACAGAGGAGGAGACGATGAAATAGGGTTTTCAAGAATAAGCAAGAACTCTCTGGACACATGAGTGGTAGAGTCCAGCCTTTCAGCCAGCCTATCTATAAGTAAAACCAGACAACTCACAGACATGCCTTAGAAGAGTTTTAAGTCTCTTTAAGTAGCTTCAGAACCTCCAAAGAACATGTGCTGTTCACAGTTTACTAGTGGGGCTAGTAAAGTGGAGCCACCTCTCAGAGCCCAAGGTATACAGTGGGAGAAAGGCAACTGCTTTACACCTGCCAAATATTTCTGCTGCTTAGTTGCAGGCACCCAAGACTAAGAAAGCTTGTTTGTTATTTTTCACCAGTTACTTTCAGCGAAACAGCTCTTATCACTTGTATGTAGAAAGTGGTGTCTACTGAAATATGGTTTTTGGTTTTCAAGCCCTTTGTCTCATGGGTCTTGCATTTATCCTGAATGGTCAGTCTAGACCTGTTTTTTTCTGACTTTCAAGTCCTGAATGGATGTGCTGAGCTGCCCCAGAGCCTAGGTGGGCTTACTCTCCGTTTCGTTTTTGCTTTCAAGCACTGTATGGAGTAATTGGTAGGCTTTCATAGGTTGATTGGTTGGTTGGTGTCCAGGGAACATAGTCTTAGGAAATTATTATAATCTATTTTTACACTCACTGAATGTTTACTGTGGGCCAAGCAGTGTGCTGGATTCTTATGACAATCCTTGGAGGTAGGTATTTCCAGATTACAGATGAGAAAACTAAAGCACAAAAAGATTGGGACCAGCAGTTAGCGTAATGGCTATGTCGCTGGACTCCCATGTAATTGACTGCGGTTTGCGTACTGGACCCGTTGGCTTAAACTCACACCGGGTGCATGTGCATGCATACCCAAGATCCTGAGAGGAGAATGGAGGAGAAGGGATTGCGGCGTGGCCATCCCTCCTGGGGGGGCGGTATGATTCCTCGTTTTCTATCTCTCTGTTTCTCTCTCTCTGTCTGGCGAGTGCACGTGCCCTATAGCAAAAACCTCTTATAAAAAAGGGAGGGGGGCAGCAGTTAGCATAATGGCTATGTCACTGGACTCCCATGTAGTCGACCGCAGTTCGAGACCCGGACTCGGTGGCTTAAACTCACGCCGGGTGCATGTGCGTGCATGCCCAAGATCCCGAGAGGAGACTAGAGGAGAAGGGATTGCGGCGTGGCCATCCCCCCTGGGAGGTGATTTCTCGCTTTCTGTCTCTCTGTCTCTGTCTGTCTGGCGAGCGCACGCACCCTATGGCAAAAACCTCTCAAAAAAAATAATAAAATAAAAAGATTGAGTGATTTGCCTGAAGTCACACAGCTATGAAAAGGGAGAGCTGGCATCTGAACCCATCAGACTGCAATGCCTAAACACAGACCTGGGGTCAGAGTTCACTCCCAGCTCTGTCATCTGACCACTTCTTGGGATGGAGCCAGGAATGACAGTCCCTGAGATAGACATCAGTCACAGCTGTTGTCTTGACAACTCCTCCTTTTAAGATCTTCATTATCACCTCACCATCTCTCATCCCCTAACTCACTCCTTCAGTATCATCCTTCCCTCTCTGGTTCATCCACCAATATTTACAATAAACGTAGCAAGTCATGTCACATTGTTGCTTAAAACCTCTGTGGCTCCTAACCCCTTCCGGACAAAGTCTTACAAAGTCATTTCTGTTTTAGCCACTGCTCTTATTTAACCTAGAGCCTGTTGGAGTGTGACACTCTTCTCCACATCCAGGGCCTTTCCTTGTGCTCCGTTTACCTACCCTTCCTCCCAGCTGAGCCCTCAGTGTTCTATCAAACATTCGCCAGCTTTTGGGAATCCTCCTAAAATCCTCCCACTTGAGTTTACAAAGTTGACTACTCATTTCATCATCCCAAGGGACATGATGACTAGGCATGCTTCCCCACCAGACAGTAGCTTCTTTAGGGCAAGTCCTGTACCAGGATACTCATTCATTCTAGTAGTCAAGAAATCCTACTGAGGGAAAACTGTGTACCCAACATTGACAAGGGCCAGGGTAGCAGGCCCAGGACCAGATGTCCAGTCCTCACATGAAATATACATAATTGAGCAGAGGGCAGTCATTAAACTCAGAGGCTGCAAGTGAGTCTTTTTATAACTGTATTAAATGTTAAGAGGGAAAATTCTGGATTTTAGTGTGTTCAATAGGAGGCTCACCTTGGTTTTGGGTGTTCAGTGTTGGGTGATGATGGCTTCTCATACCAAGTGACATATATGCTGAGGCCTGAAGAATGAGTGCAGGTGAGCAAGGTAGCAAACTGAGATTCAGACATTCTAGAATGTGGACACCATATGTATAGCATTCAGGGTTAAGGAGCTTACAGACCAAGGGAAGGGGTTTGGACAACAGGGAGGATAGAAGGAGGTAGGCCACATTCCTTAGAGCCTCACTTAAGATTTTATATTAAAAACAGTGGGGGGAACCAGCAGTTAGCATAATGACTATGTTGCTGGACTCCCACGTAGTCGACCGCGGTTCGCGTCCTGGACCCGGTGACTTAAAACTCACGCCGGGGGCGTGTGCGTGTGTGCCCAAGATCCCGAGAGGAGAATGGAGGAGAAGGGGTTGTGGCGTGGCCATCCCCCCTGGGGGGTGATTTCTCGCTTTCTCTCTCTATGTCTCTATCTGTCTGTTTGGCAAGCGCACACACCCTATAGTGAAAAAACCTCTCCAAAAAAAAAAAAAAAGAACAGTGGGAAACCATTGCTGCATTCTTGGCAGGTGAGAGTGACATGCTCTTATTTATATTAATAAAAAGATCACTCTGACTACTCTGAAGAAACAGGCCTAAAGGCAGTTTCATAGGTTGTCATAGCAGCTGGGCTGTGAGAACCAGGCATGCTCCAGAGCAATTTAGGGGTCAGTATGTCTGGATGTGGGCCAAGGGGAGGGAGGGCTCAAGGATACTCAGCTGTGTGCAGGGAGCAGCCAGATTGCTAATCACTCAATTATGTGGATGCAGGCTTACCTGCCCTTCAATGTCTTCAACAAGAATCTGCCCCACAGGTCCTAGGACAGGGCTTGTTTATTAGGTGGCTCCTTTAAGAGCTTCTTGGGCTAGGGAACCAGCAGTTAGCGTAATGGCTATGTCGCTGGACTCCCACGTAGTCGACCGCGGTTCGCATCTGGGACCCGGTGGCTTAAAACTCACACCAGCCGCGTGTGCGTGCGTGCCCAAGATCCCGAGAGTAGAATGGAGGAGAAGGGATTGCGGCATGACCATCCCCCCTGGGGGGTGATTTCTCACTTTCTGTCTCTCTGTCTGTCTCTGTCTGTCTGGCGAGCGCACGCGCCATATAGCGGGGGAAAAAAAAAACCTCTACAAAAAAAAAAGAGCTTCTTTGGCTTCACACAACATAAGACCCCTCAGTCCTTCAGACTTATGCTATACTTTGCCCATGTATAAGAGATCAGTGTAAAGGTTTTAACATTTTCACCAGTTATTCCACAGTTGACTTGTGGTAGTGGTCATTAAAATGTCAGGTAAGAATAAGCCATAGCAACAGATCTTATGCTACATACAAACCAAATTGAAAATGTGACTAGTTAGGAATGTTAAGTTTCTGAATTGTCCAGATACATTCCTCGAAACATCAGCTGCTTTTGAAATCTACATCTGGTTAAAGTTTGACCTACCACATAAAGTCGTGAAAGTAAGCCAAGTGAGTGCTTTGTGAGGAGTGTTCCAGTGTAGACACCAGCCGTGGTGACATATCCCACAGGGTGCTCAGTCATGACTGTCAGTTTATAGTTTAACTGTTTAGGTAAACAGAATATTAATTTTGATATGTGATTAGACAATTTTTTTTTGTAGGCTTTACCACCAGCACCTGTTCAGAATCATACAAATAAGCATCAGGTATTCAATGCATCTCTTCAAGACCATATTTATCCAAGCTGTTTTGGGAATACTCCAGAGTGGAATAGTTCTAAATTTATAAGTCTTTGGGGATCAGAAGTGATGAATGATAAGAACTGGAATACTGGCACTTTCTTGCCAGATACAATTTCTGGTAAGGAATTTGTTAAAACTTTCTTAAAGTTTTGGGGCTGGCAGGTGGTGTGGTGGTTGAGGCACTGGACTCCCACATGGCCAACTGTGGTTCTAGTCCCAGACCTGGCAACCCAAAAATCACAGTAAGTAAATAGATAAATAAATAAATGAAAAATATTTTTTTCTTAAAATTTTAAAATAATCTGAGCTGCGTAGACTGACATCTCTGTTATAGTCTCCATAGAAGCCCTGGTGTAGCTGTGCCCAGCTGCTGCTCCCTCACCTCTCTCTCCAGTGGGTAGCCCTGTGGGAGCCTATTATCCTATTCCATTGTTTTACATCTGCTACCAGTCAGTCCTACTGCATTTACTGAGCAGATCCAAGGCTATGCCCTTGTGGCTGCTGCTTAGCTCAGTGAGCCATATCGGCGCCTCCCTGGCACTGCTAAAGGTCTGTCTCCAGGGTTTGGAGTACAACCTTTGGTTCTCAAACAGTACTGACATCCAGCCCTCAGCCCAGTGCATAGGACTCAGGAAGACAATGGCACAGTCAACCTGAATGCTGTGACATATACACCTTCCCTCTCATTTCTGTATTAACCCTACATGGAATCTAATAAACTCCTTCCTCCCCAGCTGCCTCGGCTACTGAAGTTTAGCTGTAACTTCAGTTGTAGGGCTAGGGGACACCTGAAGTAGAGCCAGAACTTAGGCCTCATCTCTGTCTTCATGTAGCTAGAGCTCCTGGTAGCCCACAGCCTACCCCTGAGTATGCTCAGAACAGCAAGCTAGACTTGACATCCAGATCTGTGCTTAGCAAAGATTTCTAGCTGTGTGCCCTTGGACAAGTTGCTTAGCCTGAGCCTCAGTTTCTTCATCTTTAGGAATGGGAATAACAGTACAAACTAATTGGAAAGTAGTTTAAGACATTAAAAAACTAGAAAGGACCTAGCACAGGAATTGGCATGTAGTAGGTGCTCAATAAATGTTTTTCCTTAGATTATAAACTAATTGACTGGCATCATCCCAGCGGAATCAGTAGAAACCCTGGTATTAACTATTCAGTTATTAGCACATCCATTAGGTTTTAGCTAAGTATCATATTTTTAGGGACCTCACCTTTCCCATTCTTCTCTGAAGGGAGTGATATATTAGGGCCAGCACTTGCAGAAACAAGACCTGAAGCCCTTCCACCTCCATCTAGCAATGAGACGCCTGCAGTTTTGGATAGTAAAGAGAAGAAAAATGCTGCAAAAAAGAAATGTTTGTATAATTTCCAAGATGCTTTCATGGAAGCGAACAAAGTTGTCATGGCCACCTCATCAGCCACGTCCTCTGTGTCATGCACAGCTACCACGGTGCAGTCAAGCAACAGCCAGTTCAAAGTATCATCCAAGAGACCTCCTTCAATAGGTAAGGCCTATTAACCTGTAGGGATCTTCAAGAACAGCCTAGCTTATTCTATTACTTCCCTTATTGTCTTTGTAATTGTGTTATACTTACACTAGCTAGAGGTATAAATGTAGTTAATGCCAGAAAATGCTCATTCCCAAAGAGCATGACCTCTGAGATTCTGATTATAATTATAGCTGCCATACTAAATTTCTCCAAGGCATCACTGCACTGTTAATTGCCTTTAGTCTCCATACGCATCTTTCTGTGATAGGAACAGTCACTGAGGTCGAGCACAAGACAGGATTTCTCAGAAGCTGCTTTAGGAAAATGGTGAACAGAAAAGAGCATACTTGAGCTGGCAGGATTGCCTGTCACCCAGCCTGGGCTGTAGTCCTGCTGTCACTCAGGTTGATCCACTTCTCCAGTGAGAAGGAGACCTGAAAGCCAAGAAGTGATCAGAAGTCAATGACAAATGTCAAAGGGACATGGGAGCTGGTTCCAAGTTGCCTCACTAGCCAAGTTGGGACAATTTGAATATCAGGAAGAATAATAAAATGGATCATAGCTCACAAAGTCAAGGATGCATAGAGATGCTCAAACAAGGAAGTAGGGGAAAGGCCTTATGGAAGTGCACTACTACTAAATGTGTGGCAGGGATAGAAGTAGAAGGGCACTAGTCTGTAGCCAGCAGTGTAATAGCAGCTATGCTCATCTGTGGATGCTGAGAGCCTTGGACACCAGCTTGTGGGATGTGATATGACCAGTATTCCAAAGCAGCCACCCCAGGGGATCGATAGATTACAATGGTATGGTGGGCACTTCACTCTGGAGGGAAATGGCAGACAGCTGCATATATACTATCATGGAACAGACAGATATTAAGTGCTTCCTGTTGCCATGAGTTTTAAAGGATCCAACATAACCTTTGCAGGATTTGTGCCCAGAACATTTCATTTAGTCTAATGAGATACACCCACATTAGCAGGTAGCTGGCCTCTTTTAAAAAATGCCAGTCTTGTGACAAGAAAAAAACTTTAGAAAAGGCTAGTTTGAGGGGGAAGCTATAAATATAGTACATGTGAAGAAAAATGGGAAGTTGAGTACAAATTGTACATTAGATAGAAATATTGTGTCACTGTTAACTGTCTTTTGGTGCGGTAATGGTATTGTGATTATATGGCAAAGTGTCTGTGTTCTCAGGAGTTTGAGCAGAAGTATTTAGGGTTAAGTGCAACTTCCAAATGTTAAGCACCTCCCAAAAAAGTATGCATTTAAATATGACAAAATATTAAATTGTGATGAATTAAGGTAAAGGATAAATTAGATATTTTTGTACTATCCCTTCAAATTTTCTATAGATAGGAACATTTTCAAAATGAATAATTGATGAAGTAATACAGTTAAGGGAAACACAGATGTCTGTTTTCAGCAGTTGGCAGTGACTCTCACATCTCTAATTGCAGGTGACGTCTTTCATGGCATCAACAAGGAGGATCACAGACACTCGGCACCATCTGCCCCGAGGAGCAGCCCCACGGGCTTGGCCCCATTGCCAGCCCTCTCTCCTGCCGCGCTTTCACCAGCTTCCACGCCTCACCTTGCAAACCTTGCAGCCCCGTCATTCCCTAAAACTGCAACCACAGCTCCTGGGTTTGTGGACACACGCAAGAGCTTCTGTCCTGCCCCTGTGGCACCCCCACCCCCTACCACAGATGGCTCCATTAGTGCCCCTCCAAGTGTCTGCAGGTGAACTTCAGAAGCCCAGGTCTTGGTGGGAAAAGTTAGGAATGCTTAGAAAAACAGGTGTTTGTACGACACTAGCACAGCTCCAGAAGCTCTCCCCTGGGGCCATGCAGTTGAAAAGTCCACTAAACTCTAGAGGGAATGTTGGGGCATCTCCAGCAGAGGTCATGGGTAGAGCAGGGGGCTCTTAGCCTCTAGATCTGTAGAGGGAAGAGTAGAGGCCATGGACCACCATAGATCAGTGGCCCAATATTCCCCTAACCACTGGCAACATTGGGGGGTATGCCTTGTTTGTTTTTTTGTGTTGTATTTGTTACTAACTGGATATTGTAGAAGAAAATATATAAGATATGTATAGCAAAGCACAATACAACCAATACTCATCAGCTTTTTTTTCTTCTTTTTTTTTAAAGCCCATTTTTTGGGCTTTTTTTAAAGCCCATTTTTTTGCTAGCTATGCTAGCACAGTTGGTAGCTTGCTCCTCTACAGTGCTGGAAGCCACATGGCCAGCCAACCACAAATTCAGATCCTCAGACTGAAACAACATAATGGGAGTGCTGTGAGAAGGAGATAGGAGTGTGATGAGACCCTGTCCAGGGTGCATCCCCCTTCCTTCCTCTTTCTCTCTCTCCTACACATGCACTCTCTCATGGAAAGAAATAAAATAAACTTTAAGTTTTTTCTTTTCTACTCCTGAACTTGGTCATTTGAAGCCATCCCTTATTCCTTCCCTTCCTCGTTAGTGTGGAAGAGGTGTTGGTAGGGACAGTCACAGCAGACATTGCAGAGACTGTATGTGCTCCTCTTCAGTGGCAGTTTATTAGCACTGTGAGTGACTGGCTGCACGCACACATGCTTGCTGTGCCTCCTGGCTGAGCTACTTGACCCTATCACCAGATTTGTTTTTCATTTACATATGATCCTGTGACATTCCACCCTCTGTACTGTCATCTGTGAGATGGGCAGAATAGCAATTTATTGTGAAAAATAGTGCCTGGTCAGTGCCTCCCGGAATGAGGCTATGTACTAATGAGTCTGTGTGCGGTTTTGCAGTGATCCTGACTGTGAAGGACACCGCTGTGAGAACGGTGTCTATGACCCACAACAGGATGATGGGGACGAGAGTGTGGATGAGGACAGTTGCTCTGAGCATAGCTCCAGCACCTCAACCTCCACCAACCAGAAGGAGGGCAAGTACTGTGACTGCTGCTACTGCGAGTTCTTTGGGCATGGTGGGGTAAGTGTGTGAAATCAGCATGCCCTGATATAGAATTATGCAACACACAAGCTCTTTTTTAAGATTTGTATGTGAGGTTGAATTCAAGGTAAAGTTACATTACATGTAAAGTATTATTTATAGCAACTTAACATCAAAATGTGACCTGAAATAGCAATTATTCCACTTTTTTTTAGATGTATTTTATTTACCTTTATGTATTTATTTTTAATTTGACCAGAGAGGGATAGAGCGAGCGAGCACACACAAGAGAGGGTGGGGGTTGGGAGTAAGACGTGAGAAAGCAAGCTGTCAGGTCCAGGACTCAAACTGCGGTTGTCTGTGTGGGAGTCCATCACTTTTTTTTTTTTTGGAGAAGTTTTTGCTATAGGGCGTGTGCACTTGCCAGAAAGACAGAGACAAACAGAGAGACAGAAAGCGAAAAATCCCCCTCAAGGAGGGATGGCCACACTGCAATCCCTTCTCCTCCATTCTCCTCCCAGGATCTTGAGCATGCATGCACCTGGCGTGAGTTTAAGCCACTGGGTCCGAGACTCGAACCTCAGTTGACTACATGGGAAGTCCAGCAACATAGCCATTATGCTAACTGCTGACCCCGGAGCCCATCACTCTTAACCGGCACACTACCCACCAGCCCGAGCAATCCCACTTCTAAGTTGATTCCACTTCAAGGTTCTTATCCTAAAGAAATAATGAGAAAAATGTGCTGAAGGATTTAGCAATAAAGATTTCATTTACTGCATTTTTATATTAGGTTGTGATTTTTTTAAAAAGTCAGTAAAGTAAAGGGACAGTGCTAAGTACTCAGCAGTAGGAAGTTGTTAATTATGGTATATATGTACTTAGTGGAATACAGTGTAGTCAGTTACAGCAGTAATATACATATATGTGGTTTGAGTTTTTTAAAGGTTTTTGCCTTAAGGTGTGTACACTTGGCCAGAGAGACAGACTAAGACAATGAGAGGGAAAGTGACAGACAGATCACCCCCCCCAGGGGGGATGGGCACACTGCAGCCCTTTCTTCACTCTCCTCTCTGGATCTTGGGCACACCTGCACGTGTGCTCGGTGTGAATTTCAAGCCAGAAGGTCTGGACTCAAACCACAGTTGGCCATGTGGGAGTTCAGCAGTGTGACCACTACACCATCTGCTGGCCCCAGTGTGTGTTTTCTTTCTTTCTTTCTTTCTCTAGAGAGTTTTGCTATGTGGTGTGTGCACTCACCAGAGAGACAGAAAGAAACAGAGAGACAGAAAGTAAGAATTCACTCACTGGAGAGATGGCCATATCACAATCCCTTCTCCTCCATTCTCCTCTCGGGGTCTTAGGCAAACACACACACCTGGTGTGAGTTTTAAGCCACTATGTCTGGGACTCAAACCATGGTCGACTACATGGAAGTCAAGCAACGTAACCGTTATGCCATCTGCTGGTCCCCCAATGAGCACATTTTTAATAGTAAGAAATTTGGCAGTAGGATCAAGGTCAATTTTTTCTTTTCATTTTGATACTAAAAGAAAACCTACAAATGAATGGAAAAATACTGCAGACACATTAATTGACATGAAAAGTTAATCATACTACATTAAATGAAAAGTAGATTGATTCATATGTATAATTTTTTTCTTATTTTAAAAAATCTGTGCACACAGTTGTACAGACTTTACCAGATTTCTAATGCATATATAACTAGAGAGGGGTAAAATACAGCTTTTGGGCAGCTGGTCAGAGGTTATTTTTTCCCTTGTGATTTGTTTATCTTAATTTCTTTACTTTTCATAGTGAACATGTATTACTTGAGTAATAAAAAAGAGGTAATTTTAGAGATGGACGTTGAAATTTGTTACAGTCAAAATTGAAGCTTGAGCCAGCCAGTTACATGGTAGTTAAGGCAGCTGCATCCCACATGGCCAAAAGCAATTCAAGTCCCAGACCTGCCAGCCTGTACACAGGCGTGTGTGTGTGTGTGTGTGTGTGTGTGTGTGTGCATGCACCCAAAATCTCAAAGAGGAGGAGGGATTGTGGTATAACCATCCCCACTTGGGTGTATTTTCTCACTTTCTTTCTCTCTCTCTCTCTCTGTCTCTCTATCTCTGGTGCGCACACATATCCTGTACCAAATAATTAAAAAAAAAAAAAATGAAGCTTAGGGACCAGCAAATGGTGTAATGGTTACATTGCTGGACTCCCACATAGTCGATCGTGGTTCCAGTCACTGACCTGGGGCTTAAAACTCACTCTGGGCTATGTGCATGCATACCCAAGATTCCAAGAGGAAAATGGAGGAGAAGGGATTATAACACACCCCCCCGCCTCCCCACGGAGGGGAGATGATTTCTCTCTTTCTCTCTGGTGAGCATACATGCCCTATAGCAAAAAATCTCTTTTAAAAACAAAACAAAACAAAACTCGGGACCAGCAGTTAGCATAATGGCTATGTTGCCGAACTCCCATGTAGTCGACTGCAGTTCAAGTCCCGGACCTGGTGGCTTAAACTCACGCTGGGCATGTGTGCGTGCGTGCTGAGGATCCCAAGAGGAGGATGGAGGAGAAGGGATTGTGGCATGGCCATCCCCCCTGGGAGGTGATTTCTCATTTTCTATCTCTGTCTCTTTCTGGCGAGCACACGCGTCCTATAGCGAAAACCTCTTAAAAGAAAAATCTCAAAGCTTAATTTACTCGTGTTCTTATTTCTCTTAGCCTCCAGCTGCACCAACAAGTAGAAATTATGCTGAAATGAGGGAAAAGCTTCGATTACGACTGACCAAGAGGAAAGAAGAACAACCTAAAAAAATGGATCAGATCTCAGAAAGGGAAAGTGTCGTTGACCATCGAAGAGTAGAGGATTTGTTACAGTTTATAAACAGCTCAGAGACCAAACCAGTGAGCAGCACCCGAGCAGCCAAGCGAGCAAGGCATAAGCAGAGAAAGGCAAGTGGTGGGCTCAATATGTTGAGGGGAGGGCTTGGGGCACTGCACACAGCTGGTCTCCAAGTATAAGGTTTGGCTTACAGGATGACTGGCTTGAGAGCTTAGTAACTGCCCATGATATTTTGAGAGCTCCCCATCTGCCTTTGGTGGCTTAAACCTCACTTTGTATTCTTAGGAAACCATTTCCCCTTCTGTTCCTTGGGTTTATTAATGAATCTCACACAAGTATTCGTTTCTTGGAGTGAGCAGACTCTCCAGCTCTCTGTGAGAACCTTCTTTCCCAAAGAAGCAGAGGAGGAAAGAACCATATTGTAGAGAACATGGAAGTAGGGCTCATGTAGACTTTCAGAGTCTGGAAGAAGAAATGAGTTTGATATAAGAATGGGAGGACCAGCCCTGTTGTGCAGTGGTTAGATACTGTGTGTTAGGAACCAGATCTCACCTGGCTGACTGTGGTTTGAATTCAGGTTCCAGTGACCTGAGAAACATACTGGGCAGATGTGTATGCATGCCCAAAATCCTGATAGAAGGGAAAAATGGAGGAAAAGGGATTGCATTGTAACTATGTCCTATTGGTTTCACTTTACCCTCTGGCAATTTAAAAAAAAAAAAGAAGAAGAAGAAGAAAAGGTAGGAGCAGGGCCTTGGCACAGCAAATCTCTGGACACAGCTCTGAGCAGCCCTACATTGCTCCTCTTATCCCATTAGCTGTTCCAGGTGAGGACCAGCACGTGGCACTTACATAGAAGGTGGACATCTTGGGCATTTCGCACCTCACCAGTGGATATGATGTCAGAAAGCAAATGTCTGTTTGGCCCAGTGACGAGGCTGTGAGATTTGACCTTTAGTCTAGTCTAGTGAACAGACACTCAAAGATTATATGCTAGTTGGGACCATCAATTAGCATAATAGCTATGTTGCTGGACTCCCATGTAGTCGATCGCGGTTCGCATCCCAGACCCAGTGGCTTAAAACTCAGGCTGGGTGCGTGTGCTTGCGTGCCCAAGATCCCGAGAGGAGAACAGAGGAGAAGGGATTACAGTGTGGCCATCGCCCCTGGGGGATAATTTCTTGCTTTCAGTCTCTGTTTCTGTCTGTCTGGCGAGCGCACGCACCCTAGAGCAAAAACCTCTCTAAGGAAAAGACTATATGCTAGTAAGTGAGGAATTTTTTTCTTTACTTCATATTAACTTTGAAAGTGATGGGAAAAGATAAGCTCTGTGATTTCCCTACCCCCTAATTTCTCTGGAGCAGTTCTCCCTGGTTTCAGTTCCATAACTTTGTCAGGCTCCAAGAGCCAGATCTAAAGCAGGCAGATCTTGGCTGCGTGCAGTAAGAAACTTGTAAAAGTCATGAGCATTCTGATAGGATAGTTGCTTTAAGGAAAGGTAAGGTCCCTGTCACAGTGTGGTTAGGCAAAAACACACATAAGAGGACAATAGGGGTTGAATCATTTGTCTTACTGCTTCAGCTAGTTATTTGTCATTCTGAAATAGTTGTGATTGTTCTACTAAGTGGATTAATGATGAGACCTCTGTTTATACTTCACAATCTTAGATCTGGACTGACATATCAGGTAGTGGAAGGCTTTGGAAGAGAATCCTATTCTGTGCCCCAGAATATCTGAGCTTGCCAAGTCCCACTGGAGTGGGAGAACATGGGTATGTTCTCCATGCAGGAGTGTTCTATTGTTAGGGAGCACCAACTGCTGGTCTAAGACCCTACCTAACCTCCCATTACCATTAGGATTTACTGAAGGTCTCTCAGACTTGTTCAGAGGTACTCTCTACCCCAGGCTTTTGCCCTCTGACTTTGCACGCATTCTGGATCCAGACTTCAGGCTCACTGTTGGCCCAGCTGAATCTTAGAAGCCAGTGTCATGCCCAGTCTCATGTGACTCCTACCCAGTACTCTCTGCTTAGCACCTCACTTTACAAGACCGTCCATAGATCTGTATTGAGGCTCATTGACTTTTGATGATTGTTGAAGACAGTATTTCATTTGTAGTCTTTGTCCTGTGGCAGGTTCTCCCTGTAGGCCTGCACTAAGGAAGCCATTCTACTGTGTCTCTGCCCAATGTGGGTGTCCTTACCTGTTTATTACTTCCTCTTGATGTGTCCCAATGTAGATCAGTGTGCAGAGTCTGTCATCTACTAGAGAACATCAGTTGGCCTGTGTGTGCTAGTGAGTGTGCCAGTAAGTATTATAATAGGGTCAATTTTCCCTCTGGTGCAGCTTCATGTCCCCCTGCAGACACTGACTTATGACACCATCACAGCCCTCCAGGAGCTACCGACTCAGAAGGGATTCCCTTTTAACATATGGGTCAAGGATTAAAGTCATTTTTCAGTTTTGAAAAAAAAAAATATGTCGCTGTTACATTTTTTAAAACTTTTTCATAATTTTTGCTACAGGGTACATATGCTCACTAGAGAGTACATACACACACATGCCACCAGTGGGATGGCCACATCGCAATTTCTTCTCCCTTATTCTCCTCTTGGTATTTGGGGCACATGTACACACATGTGACCAGCATGTTTTTCAAGCCACCTGGTCTGGGACTCTAACTGCAGTTGGCCATATAGGTGTCCAGTGCCCGTAAGCACCATGCCACCTGCTGGCCCCAAGAACTGTTTTATAAATGAAATCTCACAGAACATTTCTTTTAAAATTGAATAATTTAATAATATTTAATGGATATTTTCCCAAGTAATTAATGGTTCTTCTATGACATCCTATTTAACGAATATGTAAATTATACTACATCTATTTATAGAAGTATTTATTTGTTTGTACAGATAAGTAAAAGGATAATAAGCAACTAAATTTTTTTTTTGCTTTTCTATATTTTATATCATCAATTTGTATTACTATTTTCATAAAAGAAAAAAAGTTCTTTTTACAAATGCTATCATGTGAAGTCCACTAATTTTATTTCCCTTAAAATAAAATTGAAAATTTAGGAAGGTTGTTTATAATCTGCGGGTCTACTTACCTATTTACCAACTTAATTTAAAAGTCATCTTTTAAAAACAGGCAACCAAAACAAAACCGGTATACCTAGAAATACAATCTGGCCAACAGTGTGTTCATAATTAGCACCAATTATGCTTCTTGGGGGTCACTAAATAACATTCATTTTGAAAGTATTTACTGTGTTTCTGGTATTGTGAGCACCTTTATGGTTTGTCTCAAAAATTTAATAAGGTAGTAAGTATAATTAACTCCGATTTTATTGATTGACCCACTGAGGCTCTTAAAGATCACAAGCTTTGCCCTTAATCTAGAGTCTTTTGATGATGTTGGAGCCTTTCCCCTTTAATGGAAGTGGCAAAAAGACACAGAGGAGCCTCCTTCTGAATTCTGAGATGTCACTGTATACCCGTGAAACACTATCAAGACCCGAGCACAGGCACCTCAGCTAGCTCAGATACATAAGGTGTTTACGAGGAAATGTTTTCACAAACTTGTCTTTGCAACTGCTGCAATGCACATGTAATCACTGTTGTTTATTATCATAACTGATGTTTTGGTACTTCAGGAATAAAATTGATCTAGTGGGAGCGTCAGCTCTACGACTGTAATGATAACCTCGTCCTGGTTACTCCTCAGGGAGTACCAAGCACACTGGCAGCTGTATGAGGAGAAGCTTATTGTACAAGTCGCTGGGAGATCAGTGCAGAGCTAGCTAGTGACCTGGGAACCACAGTGTCCACAGGCCCCTCAGAACCAAAGAACTAAATTACCATCTGGTTTCCTTCTCCAAGCACGGTGTGTGAAGGATATGGGGCAGAGCCTCTAGGGTAAAAAGGAAGTAGAAGCTATTTATAATGTTGGGGCATCATGTACACACTGTTGACCAGATTGTTTTAAAAGCCACTAAGTCTGGGACTCTAACCACACAATGGGCCATGTGGGATCCAGCTGCCTTAACCATCACACCATCAGCTGGTCCCCACTGATAAATTTTTACCATAATTTTTATTTAAATTTTTTATAAGACTAGTAAATTTATCTCTTAAAAATATTGTGAAAAAAATATTTACACTTAGGCTAGCGGGTGTTGTGGTGGTTAAGGCACTGGCACCCACATGGTCGACTGTGTTTCAAGTCCCAGACCTGGTGGTTTGCTTTATCACTACTTCTTTCTCGTTCTTTGGTGAATACACATGCCCTATAGCAAATTAAATAATTGTGTGGGTTTTTTTAAATTTTTATTTATTTAAATTTGACCATAGAGGGACAGAGCGAGAGAGAAAGAGGGAGAAGGAAAGTGAGAAAGCAAGCCACAAGATCTGGGACTCGAAACATGGTCGTCCGTGTGGAAGTCCAGCACCCTTAACCACCGTTCCTACCACCTCAATAATTGTTTTTTGTTTATTTGTTGTTCGTTTTGTTTTTTGAGAGGTTTTTGCTATAGGGTGCGTGCGCTCACCAGAAAGAGAGAGACAAAGAGACAGCAAGAAATCACCCCGGGGGGGGGTGGCCACGCCATATTTCCTTCTCCGTTCTCCTCTCAGAATCTTAGGCACTCACGCACACGTGCCCAGTGTGAGTTTAAGCCACCGGGTCCAGCACTCGAACCACAGTCGACTACATGAGAGTCCAGCAACGTATCCATTACACCATCTGCTGGTCCTAAGTTTTATTTACTTTTTTTTTTAAAGAAGAAAATATATTTACACTTGGGAAGGACCTTCATATTTTCCCAAGCAAACTGTTTTTGCCAGTTTCTTATAAATACTAGCATTTGGGAGGGAATTCAGTGATAAGAGGAGCCATGCTTCTTACCTTAATGGTTTTTGTTTTCTTGTGTGTGTGTGTTTTTTTTTTTTTTTTAAAGAAGTTTCATTTAGGGACCAACAGATGGCGTAATGGCTACGTCACTGGACTCCCCTGTAGTCAACTGCAGTTCGGGTCCCAGACCCGGTGGCTTTAAATGAGTCCAAGACCCGGTGGCTTAAACTCAACGCCAGGCGTGTGTGCATGCGTACCCAAGATCCTGAGAGGAGAATGGAGGAGAAGGGATTGCGGCGTGGCCATCCCCCCTGGGGGGTGATTTCTCGCTTTCTGTCTCTGTCTCTGTCTTTCTGGCGAGTGCAGGCACCCTATAGCAAAAACTTCTCCCCCAAAAAAGAAGTATCGTTAAATTAAATTAAATTAAATTATTTATTTATTAAATTTGACCAGACAGGGTTGGGAGAGTAAGAAAGCAAGTCGCCAGGTTTAGATGATAGAGCATGCATACACATGGGGGGATGAGGAGGGAGGAGTACCATTAACAGGATATCGCCTTACCACAATCCTCTTTCCCCAACTGTCTCTTGTCCTTAAAGATCAGTGCCCACATGTGCTTCACTTGCTTTCTAAATAGAAGGTATAGTTTTCATTTAAACTTCTGGAATATGTATTACTATTAAAACATAATCTTCACTTAGGATGAAAATTAATTTCTATCAAGTTAGGCAGCAGAAATATGCAGATGTCTTATTTACTTTGCAATACTGAATTTTTTCAAAATCATTTACTCTATTGCACTAGTGAAAATGTATTAGAACTTTACTAGGGTGGGAAGAAGGAATTTCTAGGTTTTTTTTTAGTACGTATTTCATGTGTATCCTATTGATATATAATATAGTCAAGGGCATCAGCATTGGCTTTGATGCAGAATGGTGTGCTTGCTAAAAGTTGTAGCAGTACTTGTGAAGCATTTACTGCACAGTCTGTAGTATTAGTTACATCATTCACCTGACCAGTCAGCATGACTTCTTACTACATGTACAAAGGAGTAGCCAGCTCACTGGACAGGCACATAACAGCTGCTTTGACGTTGATTATTTTCGTGTTTTTGTTTTTGCTCTAGGGCATGCACTCTCACCAGAGAGAAAGAGAAAATGAGAAAGCTCTCCCCACCCTGCCTCAAGAGGGGATTGCCATATTACAGTCCCTTCTCTATTCTCTGCTTGAGATTTGGGTCATGCATGCACATGCGCCCAGTGTGGTTTTTGTTTTTGTTTTGTTTTGTTTTGTTTTGTTTTGTTTTTTCAATCCACCAGGTTCCTGACTCAAACTGCACAATCAGGCATGTGGGATCCAACCATCTTACTACATCACTGGCTAGCCCAGTATAGTAAACATATACCTTGGTAGATAGATAAAGCCTAACAGTTCTGTAGAGTGAAATAATTGCAGCTATATGTATTTTAGTTTTCTGGATTATTACAGCCTCTTTCCAAATTTATGTTTCATTAAGTGATCTGTTTTTTAAATTATCTTACTTAGGACCAGCCATTTGCATGGTAGTTAAGGTGGCTGAATCTCACATAGGTCAATTCAACTGCATAGTTGAGTCTCAGACCCAGCAGCCTGAAAAACAAGCAGAGCACATGTGCAAATGTGCCCCTAAATCACAAGAGGAGAGTGGAGGAGAAGAGATTACAGTGTGGCTATCCCCCAGAGGGAGTGATTTTTTACTTTCCCGCTCTCTCTACCCCTACCTTCCCCCCTACCTTAGTAAGTACACACACCTATTAGCAAATTTAAAAAGTTTTTTAAATTATCTTTTTCTTTGTGTCTTAATTTTTAGAATATTTAATTGTCTTAAGTGACCTTCTCTTTCCCCATCGGCAGCTAGAGGAAAAAGCTCGCCTGGAAGCTGAAGCCAGGGCCCGGGAGCACCTACACCTCCAGGAGGAACAGAGGCGGCAAGAAGAAGAAGATGATGATGATGAGGAAGAGGAGCATTTCAAGGAGGAATTTCAGCGGCTTCAGGAGCTTCAGAAGCTAAGAGCTGTGAAAAAGAAGAAGAAGGAGAGGCCAAATAAAGACTGCTCCAAGTTGGACATGCTTGCTAGAGATTTCCGGGCAGCATCAGAGTCTGTCCCTAACTCTGAAAACATTCATAATGGCTCACTAGAGCATACTGAAGAACTAGAAACCTCATCTCACTCCCCTTCCAGAAACATGAACCACACAGAGTCCAGGCCAGGGCCAGGAGCTGACGGGGACACTACAGACCTCCTGGACACCAGAGACTCTAAACTTCTCCTCCCCAAAGAGGTTAATGGGAAGCAGCATGAACCACTCTCTTTTCTCTTTGACATAATGCATCACCATAAAGAGGGAAATGGGAAACAGAAGCTAAAGCAGACCAGTAAGACCAGTTGTGAGCAAGTGAGGAAGTCTGCAGAGCTCTCCAAAGCCACAGAGGGGCAGCCCAAACCCCGGACCCAGACTGAATCTAAGACTAAAGTGGTTGAACTCACTTCTCTAGCAGAGCAGAAAAGAGATGATAGAAAAGTCAACAGTAATAACAATAACAAAAAGCAGCTGAACCATATCAAGGAAGAAAAATCAATCCCAATTCCTACTGAGCCCACCTCTCCCAGCGAACATCAGCAGAATAACAAGCTGATGCTGTCAGATTCTCTGCAGCCAAAAGGCAAGAACAAGAAAAATAAGAAAAAGAAAGGAGACAGAGTCAACAATTCAATTGGTAAATACAAAACAGAAGGAAAGTGTTTCAAAACTATGGCTTTTAATTTTCTGTGTGAGATCATAATACTATGAAAATAGCATTTAGTTTGTTTGACATTCTGTTAGTTTGTCCTCCCCTCCTACAGACTGGATGCTGCCTCACCTATTTATTCCTGGCTTATGCTTTGAGTGGCTTTTTTTTTTTTTTTTTTTACCAGCAGTAAGGTATAGATAGCATTGTATATGTTGTATTTTTCTTACTGCCAGTGGTCACATGCACTGCCCCAAAAAGAGAGAGACAGAGAAAGAGAGAAAGCATACCTCCCTCTCACAGGGTGTGGTTATACAACAGTCCCTTCTCCTCCATTTCTCAATTCTGTCAGGATTTGGAACATGCATGTACACATGCCCACCATGTTTTTCAAGCCACCAGGGTTAGGGTTCAAACCACATAGTTGGCCATATGGGATCCAGATCCCTTAACCATTTGGCCGCAGGACCAATCCATATATTGTTATTTTGAAACTATTTTAGACTTACCAAAAAAACTGCCAAAAGAGTACAATTTATACAAATTCAAATTTCCTAAATCGACATGTTACTACAATTGCTTTTTTCATTCTTTCCCTATTATTTTTCTAAACCAAATGAGGCTACAGATGCTTCTCAACTTATAACAGGGGTAAGCCTCAATAAACTCATCATTAAGTCAATAGTATTTTAAGTGGAAAATACATATAATACTCCAACAAACCCAAGTTGAAAAATTAAAAGTGAAATCATCATAAGTCCAGATGTTTCTCAATTTACAGGAGTTAAAACTCAGTAAAGTCATTTGTAAAGTCAAAAAAATCCTGGGCCAGCTGATGGCATGGAGGTTAAGGCAGTTGGTTCACACATGGCCTACTGTCCAATTCTATTCCTGTACCTAGTGACTTGAAAAACATGGGGACCAGCAGTTGGCGTAATGGCTATGTCGCTGGACTCCCACGTAGTCGACCACGGTTCACGTCCTGGACCCGGTGGCTTAAAACTCATGCCGGGCGCGTGTGTGTGCATGCCTAAGATCCCAAGAGGAGAACGGAGGAGAAGGTATCGCGGCTTGCCATCCCCCCTGGGGAGTGATTTCTTGCTTTCTGTCTGTCTCTCTGTCTCTCTCTGTCTGGCTGGCGAGCACACGCGCCCTCTAGCAAAAACCTCTCCAGAAAAAAAAAAAAAAAAGAAAGAAAAACATGCAGCACTTGTGTGTATACATTCTCAAAGCCCCAAGGAGAAGGAATTGCAGCATGCTATACCCTCAAGGGGATGCTTCCTCACATTGCATCATTGCAGGGTGCGCTCTCTCTGTCTCTCTCTCTCTCTCTCAACACACATGCCCTACAGCAAAAATTTTTTTAATATTTAAAAAAATTTTTTTGAAGAATTATTTATTTCTTCATTTATTTATTTTAATTTGGCCAGAGAGAAAGTGAGAAAGCAAGCCACCAGGTCAGGGACTTGAACTGTGGTCAGCCTGTGGGAGTGCCCACCACACCACCTACTGGTCTCAATATTTTTTATTCTTTCTTAAATTTCAAAAATGGGCCAGCTGGTGGCATAGCGGTTAAGGCAATGGATCCCACATGGCTTGCTGTGCATTTTCAAGTCTCAGACCTGGCAGCTTGAATATCACACCAGGCGTGTGTGCGTTCATGACCAAAATTCCAAGAAGAGACTGGAGGAGAAGGGACTGTTGTGTGACCATTCCTCCTGAGAATGATTTCTCACTTTCCCTCTCTGTCTTTCTCTCTCTCCCTCTGACAAGTACTGCCTTACCTATTATTCCTGGTTTTATGCTTTTAGTGTTTTTTTGTTTGTTTGTTTTTTGGGGTTTTTTTTACCCAGCAGTGAGGTACAACAAAAGCTGAAAAATTCTTACATGGAAGCATCATAAATCAGGGACTTAATGTCGTTTCTCTCTAATTTCCTTTTCTTTCAAGCAATTTCTCATTTTTCTTTGTTTTCATTACCTTGACGTTGTTGAGTACAGCCCTTTTATTTTTTTAATTAATTACTTTTATCAATACTATTTTTAATGTGTTATAGGGCACACGTGCTCACCATAGAGAGAGGGAAAGTGAGAAAGCAAGCCACCAAGTCCAGGACTCGAACTGTAGTTGGCCCTTTTGGAGTCCATTGCCTTAATCACTATGTCACCTGCATTTAGGTCTTGTGTGCCATGTATTCACAGTCTAATTCAGACTGTGTGTTTTTGGAAGTAGTACCGTGTATGAGTACCTGAGACAGTGCGTTCCTCAGTAGGCATACAGTTCATCCCACCACTAGAAATGCTAACTCTGATCCCAGTGTTGAGGTGGTATCTGCCCAGTTTCTCAATGATCAAGTTAACATTTTTCCTTTAAGTTACTGTATTATGGAGATGAATAGCCTATTTTTAATCATTCACCCACTAGTTTTAGTACCCATTAAGTGATTTTGCTGAAAGTGATTTTTTTCTGTTTGCCAATGCTGATTTTTCTAACCTTACTCTACATCTGTTGCTTGGCATTCTTCTGTCAGAGGAGCCTTCCTTTTTCTTCTGTGTATTTTTTTTTTTAATTCATTTAGTTGTTGTTTATATTAGGGTGGATTCACGTATCTCTAATGGGCGATGTAAGTTACAGTCCTTTACTAACATGTTTATTCCATGCTCTGGTTGTCTCACCTTCAGTCAGCAGGATGACTTTTTCCTGAGCCCTTCTGACCACAGCCCCACCAGCTTTTGAGCACTTTGTACTTTCTGACACAATTAGATGCTCCAAGCTCATCTTATGTCTTTATCTCATCACTAAACTAGCCATTTCAAGGACCCCTGGTTCTTTATATTGAGCGTAGAAAGATGTTTAGAAACCCAGACCTGGACACTAAGGTGTGGCCTAACTTGTAGGCCCACTCAGTCAGCAGAAATAATAGGCGGGGAGATTACATTTAGTGTAGGTGTCAGAATGTGCGCATGCACGTGGAGACCACACACATTTTTATCTAATTTCTGTTTTACAAACTGAGTTTCTATGGATACTCCAGTCACACTTGAGGGCCACAGCCTGTGTTTTCACCATCCCCATCCACATTTGTAGCTCTTACAGTGAGAACCTTGACTTTGTTGTCCATAGTGCATTTACTGACTTGTTCAGTTGTAGAACACACATGTAGAATCGTCTATCCTTAGCACTGTCAAAAACTCTTTATTTTCAGTATTTGTTTAGTTATCTTTGTCTTTAACCCAGGGATATACAGTAACAAAACTACACTTAAAAGTGACTTGGGGGCCAGCAAGTGTGGCGGTGATTAAGGTGCTGGACTCCCACATGGCTCACCACAGTTTGAATGCTGGACTCAGTGACTTGAAAATCACACCCAGTGTGTGTGTGGATGTGCCTGCCCATCCATCCCAAGAAGAAAATGGAGAAGGGATTGTGGTATGGCCATCCTCTTTTGGGGGTGATTTCTCACTTTCCCTCTCTGACAGTGTACACATCCTATGGCCAAAACTTTCAAATAAAAAAAAAAATTAAAAAAAAAAAGGTGGATCCAGCAAGTGGTGTAGTGGTTAAGGCCCTGGACTCCTCCATGGTCCATTGCGGTTCAAGTCCCAGACCCAGTGGCTTGAGACTCACTCTGGGCATATATATGTACATGCCCAAAATCCCAAGAGGATAATGTAGGAGAAGAGATTGTGGTGTGACCACCTTCCCAAAGGGGTGATTTCTTGTTTTCTGTCTCTCCAGGATGTGCATGTGCCCTTTTTAACACAAATCTCATGAGAAAAAAAATAAAAAAGAAGACTTGAATTACTTCTTTTCCCCTTTAGTAATGTCATTAATTTAAAGCACATCTAGGTTCATTTGTTTCTGTTCGTATTCCATTTAATTTTGTCCTCTCCTCCCAATCTCTTTCTTCCTCCCCATTTCATTCCTAATCTCCTCCTATAGGGAACTAATCAGTTTCTTCTTTGCAATTTTTTTTTCACATAAAGTTAATGTACTGTAGAGTGAATGCTTATATGCTTGTGTACTTTCATGTTGTTTGAAGGTATATCTTTTTTGAAAATAGTCTCCCAGAAGGAGGAGTGCTGGGTCCAAAGGTAGATATGTACTTAGTTTTACTAGATATAGCCACGTTCTGCAAGCCATCTAGTTAGCCCTCGCACCAGCAGCAGCTGAGTATGTTTGTCCAGTTTCACTGACAGAATATCTTGTCAGGCTTTGTGACTTTTGCCAGTTTAATTGAAATCATTCTCAATGTAGTTTTCATTTGCACATTTGCATTTTTCTCTAGCCTTAGGGCATGTACACCTCCCAGAGAGAGAGAGAAAGAGACAGAAACAGTGAGAGGGAAAGTGAGAAATCACCTTCCCCACCCCAGAGATGGCCCCACTGCAGTCCCTTTTCCTCCATTCTTGGAATCTCTTTTTTTTTTCCTTTATTTTTTTTGGAGAGGTTTTTGCTATAGGGCACGTGCACTCACCAGACAGACAGAGAGAGACAAAGACACAGGAAGTGAGAAGTCACCCCCCGGGGGAATGGCCACACCGCAATCCCTCCTCCTCCTTTCTCCTCTCGGGATCTTGGGCACGCACACACACGTGCCCAGCGTGAGTTTAAGCCACCGGGTCCAGGCCTCGAACTGCGGTTGACCATGTGGGAGTCCAATGACATAGCCATTATGCTAACTGCTGGTCCCCCTTCTTGGGATCTTGTGTACACATGCACATGCACACAGCATGATTTTCAAGCCACGCCCAGGACTCAAACTGTGGCCAGCCATGTGGGAGTCTAGCAATGTAACCACTACACCATCTGCACCATCTGCCGGTCCCTTTTCTCATTTTTTTAATGAGTGTTTTTTTTTCTTTTGTTTTTAAAACATTTTTGTATATTAGGGAGTACTATGAGCTGTAAGGTGGTTAAGTAGCTAGATCCCACATTGCTGCACATACCGTTTGAGTCCCAGACCCAGTGGCTTGAAACACATACTGGGCACATACGCGTGCATGCC